TTAAATAAGGCAGCAACTTTCATCTGTAATAAACTGTCAGATGTGTCTTAGCTACAAATGCCCTATCTATTAATAGATTATTTACCTGGAATTTGCATCCAGCAAAAGAAATTTTTAAATGTTGTCACATCAGAGCCTTCTACTGTTATTTTGAACACATCCATTAAGAGCTTGGAAAGAATTTCCCTTTCCCAACATCTGCCTTCCTTTTCTGACCAACCTCTCTTTCAACGTATGGTAAATCATAATCCGGGGAAGTGGATGTCACTGACACACTGAAAGCTTCAGAAGCTTTCACTTGAGCTTCGCTACGTCAGTGAAATGCAGCCACCGGGCATGGAAGTGGCTGGTGATTAAAAGGTTTCCTTCTGTCTCTAAAACAGAAAGAGAAGAAAGCGAACACATCCTTTGTCTGCAACTAATTTGGAGTTACGGCTTAATAGCCGATGCATTTCAGACTGATTTTCCCAACTGAAAATCTTTCATAATTTTCCTGTGAAGAGCAATTCAAACACTCTGGAAAATATTTTGTTCCACTATGGATTGTAAGAAACAAAAAGCAGAAATCTGAAAACCTGCCAGAGGGGGACTTCAAAAATTTACTGTGTCATACAAATGTCAAATATACGAGTATTCCCTTACATAATTTGAATATATATATATATATATGCACATTGATATATACATATGCATACTTACATATACCTACGTGTGCATATTTTCAAATGTCGTACTTCAAAAGCTCCCCAGCATCTCCTCCCGCTGCCTTTGAGCGAAGCCACGTGAAAGCCAGAGGGCAGCCCCGCTTCCCCGGCCCCGGGTCTTGCTGCAGTTTTGAGGGAAAGCTCCAGCCAGGCTCCCACGATGTGGGGGACGCCAGCGAGGAAGAAATCTCTGTCTGGGAATATATCTTTCCTGGTCACAGAACAATTACAGCACATTGCCAAATGGTGCTGTTGGGTAGTATTACCTGGATCGGTCACTGGGTTTTCATTCGCCCTCCACACAAGAATTATTTTGTGATCTGCCACCTATTTCCCAGAGCTTTAGAATGCCCTTTAAATATATTGCGTGGCTGGCACCACTTTGCCCAAAACAAACATGCACCTTGGGCTTGTGGACTATATTTCTTTTAGAGTGTTCTAGCTGCCATCACCTATTGATATTATTTGATTTGCAGCCACTATTGAAAGCAAACAAACAAAATCTCACAGCTTCTTAAACCTTCCTCCACCTAAGCCACTGATATTTAGTGGGAGCAAGAGCGACAGGTACAGCTCTGTCACACCCGCACTCACCTGCCTTTAGAAAATAAAAGCAAATGTTTAGTGAATTATTTTCTTTCAAGTTTTCAGCCTGCTGCTCCAATTTCCCTGGCATCCGTCCCTGACATATCTGATGTTTCCTTCCATGGCCATGACCAACAGCCAGGAAGGATGGACCCTTAGCAAATGCCTGGTGGTCCCCACAGCAGCATCTTTTCCACCAACACCTCTGCCCCAAAAGTGCATGTGTGGCTCAGCTGCTTGCAAACCACCCAGCTACAAACCTGCTTGAAATAAGCTCCAGCCAGCGGAGTTCAAGGTGTTATATGCGTGGGCCTGTGCTGGGGGGACCCCAGAGTAATGCCCTAAAACCACTCTGCTTTGGCTGGTCCCTGGTATAGCCCTGTGGAACCTCAGTCCCACCCGGTACCATATTGAGCAACTCACCAAGAATGGGCTTCTGGGCTGCTGCTGTCCCCAGGATCTACTGACATGCACGTCTTCCCCCAGCCATGGTCATGTCAATGTTTCCTTCAGGTGAGATCCAAACCCCAGGTCCGTAACAGTATTTCAACATGAAACACCAGTTTCTGCTCTTTTTCCAACAGATATTTTTGGATGCTTCTGCGTTCTGCAGGAGGCTCTCTTCTTCCCAGCGAGCCCACAGGCTGCCCCTCATTTCATTTGCACATGACAACTTCTCAGATATTAACGTCAGGGGAATCTCGACCTCCAGGCGTTAACAGCAACTTTTCTTATGGCTTCAGTGGAGACAGATTTTCCCCCACGGGACTTGCTTTATCATGCTGCCACAGCTATTCAAATGCTGTTTTCACTTAGCAGCTGCAACAGGTATTGTTATTTGTTTGCTTTTTGTGTCAAAAAGGAGCTACTCAGTATGTCTTTGCAACAAGTTGCTGCCACGAAATTGCTGGGTTCAAAAAAAAAAAATGCTTGAAGTCTACTGAAGAGAACAAATCCTTATGTCTTAGCAACAGCTCCTTGCCTATATCAAGGGTGATGGTGGTTCAAGAAGCATCTCTTTGCAGGAGACTAAAGCGCCAGCTACTACGTAACATGCAATTCCAACAACACTCTGGACTGAGAGTAGCAAAATCTCACTGCACGGTTTAATTTCTTCCTGAAGGAAATCTGAACGGTGATAATGACGATGAGCACTCAGCTGCCTGAAAAGCCAGCATTTTTTTTCATAAGCTTTTTTAATGCAATTATAGGAATAAATCTGGGCAATTAAATTAAATGTATAGGTTTCTCGTATGTAAAGAAATAAATATTTCCTTTTAAAGGCAATCTAGCCTGCACACCAGAGAGTAACAGCAACTCCATACGAGTCATGGATATGGACTTTTATTGTTTCCCACAACAGGGGGGGACAATTGTGATACTGAGCACTTCATCACTGTACACAAACTTGACATCTGCATCTGACTTTGTCATGAATTAAAAATGAAGAGGAAGGCTTCATCTGATTACAGTGTAGCTGCAGTCACCATAAGGTACAGGCGGGCATCCCTCAGGTGAACAACCAAGAGGGCTCAACTGTATCTTCTTGGGTTTTTTCTAAATAGCATTTTCATAATATAGTCTGATTACAGTGATGCCTTTATTTATTTATTTCTGCAGGAAAGGCAGTAGTAATTAACTTGTACCGTGGCCTGCAATTTACATGTTAAAATTTACAATGATTCTGTCATAAGGCCATAATAAGCACCATTTTACAAGGGAAACTCAGTAATTGAGGGATTGTTTTGCTCACGGCTTGCTGCAAAACCTGGGCGAGCTTTTGCTCGCTCTCCCTCCTGCTCCGTGCCAGCGCACCGCCATCGACTCCGGTGTGGTTCGGTCTGATCTGCATCAGGGTGAGAACAAAATCTGTCAGTCTGGCTCCAGGGGAGCTGACAGCGGATCAATTTGCCTTGCTGCCTCCTCAATGACAGCCTGCAAGCATAACTAAACCCAGTCACAGGTATATAAACATACTCTGACATTAAATACAGACTAAAATACACCTGTAGAGGTGGTGGCTGCCTGAGCCAGGGCTTCACGTAAATGCTCTTTAAGGAGTGAACACATGGTGTTTGTCCCAAATACTGTTAAATTTAATGGGTGAACACCCCTCTCCTTATTGACCTTGCGTGCCTCCCCCATGTGCTCCTCCAAGCCCCTTCTTGCTCTTTGCAAGTCCCATCTGCAGCGTTCAACTCCTCTAACGTTAATATGCTCTACTGCAAACAAAACTATGCGAAGGATGAAAAATAATTAGCTGTGTCTCAGTGTCTAATATATTTGCATTGTTTAGACAGAGTAGTTAATCATTGGTAAGACCGCAACATGTTGTGTGAATTTGGATTATAATTAATACATATTGAGCAGAAGGTTATTAATTACATTTAAAGGGAGTATTTGATATTATTATTATTATTGAGAAAGTGAATGCAATTAATTATATTACGATGCTCTTGCAGGATTCCTGTTGCAATACTGCGCAAAGAGCTGTTTACTTTCAGACTGTTCTGTCTTTCGTTCAGAAAGCAGGTACTTAGGGCAAGCAAAAGGCACCACGAGCCAAAGTCGTGGTCCCATTAGCACTCCTGAAGCACCGAGTGATATTGAAGGGGTCAGCGAGGGTCTGCATTTTTTAATTGTTTTTAAATATAGGGTAAACTTTTCATTTGTATAAAATAGTTGGTCTGCTGAAATGTCACTTATTCCCTTGGGCTGGGAATTGGCAAAGGACTGTCTCCATGTGGTCCCTACCGCTGAGCCTAAATCCCCAGAAAGGACATCTGAGGGAGGGAATCGGATCCCAGATTTAATTAGAGGTGCGGTATTTCCAAGTGTTCCCTCTCTAAAATGGCTCTTACCTGTAGAAAAGAAAAGCTTAGGGCACTCCTTTTTTATTTAAAAAGGCAATTGTATTAATTCAGCTGAATTTTGCATTGGAATTGCACTATTGCTTTGACAGTTTAGTTCCCTGAAAATTGCAATAAAGGCTCTGTTACGCTACATTTTGTCCCCATTTGTCTTCTATACCATTGCCTTGCCTTTGGCACAATAAAAATAATCTTTAAAAATAGTACCATAAATGGATTGACTTTGACCTTCTGAGTATCTTGTCAATAAAATAAAAATGATTAATCTGTTTCAGAGTGCCACTGGCGTAATATTAAAGCAGAGTTATAATCTGAAAAATGACATTTGAAAAATGATATTATGGGGAGGGGTCTTATTCTCTGTCAACGGTGTCACATACATACATAAACTCTATTTACAGTGCAAAGAGGTGATTTGCTAAGTGCTCGGCTTGCTCCTGAAACCAGGTTGTGCAATTCCTGCCTCTTACATCATCATGAGCGATTAAAGATTACTGCAGCAAGAAGTTAGCTGAGCCTTCTGTTGCCGATGCATAAAGCAGAGCAACTCCACCTCAGCCTCCTCCAGTGACCCGCTCTGCAATGCCAACACAGCGAAAATGTACTTTGCCCCATAGAGAAATGGCTAAGATAATAAAGACAAGGCCTTTTTTTCTACACGAGAAGCTTTCTGAAAATAAACAACTTCTAAAAGAATCACTGCAAGGCTTCTTTTTATTAGGTGATAAAAACCTACTGAATATTCTGTAAAAAAATCAAGAGATATATGAAAATAAACAGGGCAGGCGTGTAAACAAGCATACGTCGAGGGGCAGCAGTTTTTATTCAAACTTTGCGATGCATGCGCAGAAGCTCTGATGTATTTGGCTTTATGGGTACATGCCTCAGGCGAGTCTGACCTGTCACTTGAATATTTGTAAGCCTAACTTGAGCTTATTTCTAAAAACCCTGTACTGTTGGTTTTTCACCATTTCGTTTTCTCTTTTTTAGCATTTCTTGTTTTCATTATTCTAAATATGTATTTAAAAGTATGTGAAGTGCACTTTATACTTGAGCATCAATATATATTGTGATTAAAATGCTCATGCATACAGTAAACTAAACTAAAAAAACACATATTTTCAAAGATCACAGGGCTTTGGAACCTCAAAATGTTACTCGATTTCTGAGGAGGAGCAATTTGCATGTTAATCCATAAAACTAGACTGAGATCACATTAAAGGATTGAGGTCTCTGTTTCTGATTCAGATATGATGAAAATCTGGATAACTAAAATCTTCTTGTTACCAAGCTTCCAATTTTATATATTTAATTCCAAATTTGATCTTTTCCCAGTGTTTGCCTTGAAAACTAGCCCAATCCTAAACTGAATCTGAACATAAGAGACGTACCCCTCCTTTAAGCGTGGTTATTAACAGTATCCAGTTGAATTAACTTGAATTAACTTATTTAATCTTTGTCCTTTTTCACCCTTTCCAGCTCCCGAGTGCTCGCCGGAGGGACACCGCGTCCTCCGCAATCCCTACCGCAGCACCAGGTTTGACTCGCTGGAGCTGCAGCGAACGGCGATTCAGGACCTGGTTTGTGACCACTCCTTGCCACCGGCATGGTACCGGTTCATGATCGACAACAGGCCCGCAGAAATGCCGACGAGATGCATCGAAGTCAGTAAAACTTAAGCATAACCCTGGTGAATTTTAATAAATCCTTTGATGTGATTTTCCTTTCCAGCCACCTCTATACTCTCATAGCCAGTAGACTGCAATGGGGATAGGTGAGTGGTAATGGGAAAACCACTTTTCCCATAGTAATAATAACAGTAATAATAATAATAATAATAATAATAATAATAATAATAATAATACTGTTACATCCAAGGGCAGTAGTCAGAGACTAGGTTCCCTATGGACTGGGCGTTATTCAAGTATAAAACAAGGTGTTTTCCAACTCTAAAGAGAGATACCCTAGTAATCCACATACGTCACTGTAAAGCAATTCTGTTACTTTAAGAATGGCTTCTGGAACCTGACTTTTTCCTCATATGATTTATTGTGAATTAGGAACATGGCCTTATTATGAAATCAGAAGGGAAAAATCAGAAACGTGAATATTAAAAGAGATTCTTTAGTGATACGGAAGGAAAAGCTAAATTTGAGTCTTTTCCCACTATTACCATTTCTTGTATTATTTAGTTTCATAAGTATGCTAATGGCTTTCTAGAGCAAAAAAGCTCCACCACATAAGACTACTCTCTAAAAAAGACAAAACTATAATTATCTGGTTTTATGTATGTTTAATATGTATGACAATAACATTTAACTTGCAATCATTGCTGCCAGAGCAACTTGAGACCCTAACTAAAGTCATTGCCATCTCAAATAGCCCAGCTGCAGGAGGTTAGAATAATTTCAAACACACTGTTAAACAAAATTATTCAGAAAGTAATAAACTAATTACCATAAATGAATTTAAAGATGAAATATTCAACCTAGAGTGCCAGGAAGTTTAATATTAGGCAATGCTACCCTAGCTGGAGAACCTTCTCGAAATTAGCAAACACTGTTTCATATCCATTCAAAATGGACCTGTGGACCTGTCACAACAGAAGCATATCTTAATAATCGAACATTAAATGAAATATTAAGAGATAATTATTACTACTGTGGGATTTCTAACTCTCTGCATACACAAACAATAAATCTAATTAACGTGAAAAAATTGGCATGATTATTATTGAAATATTCATTTCATGGCAGGTCATCCTTGAATATCCCAATGCATAATGAAGTTTATTTTTACAGTTTGTTCTATAAGTGTGTATATATTCTATAAAATTACTTAACTTGTCATTGTATTCCAGCAATTTTGAGTATGTAGTAATGCTCAACTGTATGAGAGTTCTTTCCAACAATACATGCTTTGTTTCTTTTAATCTCTTCTCTGGAGTTTTTTATTCAGGTTTGTAGAGCTATCTTCATTAGTTTAGTTTCTTATCTTGTAACATAATTCTTGTCATTGGTTTCTTCATTATCCTCTGAATGACAGTAAATCTCTGCTTCGCTGTGCTGATGAAGGATTACATCTGTTAGATGTCACAACTGGAAGAATACGCTTCTTTTAGATCTTCACCTTCTAAATCTGCCTCTACGTTCTCTCTCTTCCACTTAATTAAATCATTGTTTAATTTGGTTTTCCATTTAATTTGAGCAAAACCTCTGGAACAAAATAATTTAAATTAATAACTGCACAGCTTCCACTCCTTAATAAGCAGTTATTATTGGACATTCCAGCCTGGCTGGAGTGAGTTGATTTTAATTAAACAAGTTAAAGACAAAAGCCTAACAGATAGAAGAGAAAAGAGACCAAATAAAGCCCGACAATACAGCTGGAGAGTTAAAGAGTGCATTACTCCAGCTCCTGGTGAAATATATGCCTGGTGATATCCTGTTGATACTGGTTGATACAATTAGCTGCTTATCGATGGATAAGATCAACTTCTTAATTCAAAGTAATAGTAGGTAAGGATTCTTGTCACCCAATTGAGCTCAAAAGGGATTTAAACCATAATGGAGATTTAGAAGTCCTGCCCAGCTTGGGAGAGAATTGCAGCAGGACGAAGGGCACGTGCTGGGTGGGCAGGAGGGAGGTGAGCTCCAAGGACTGGCTGCAGTGCCTGGGCAGGGGTAGCCGACTCCTTCAGATACGCTCTCAAAACCTGTATTCTGAAACTTGCCACAAAAAAAAAGCTCCACAATAAAAATGTGGCCCCAGCTGCACGCAGTTTCATAACCATAGAAAGTATTATATTCAACAGAGAGCAGAACCAAGTCACATACAGAAGTTATGAGAGCCTCAGCCTGCAACCATGTCACAGCTAAGAGGCACAGCAGCCTTTGTAATGAAAAACGAGTAACAGCTCTTAAGAAGCTGCTTCTCATCTGCTAGTTTAACAAACAAGTGAAAAACAAAGGGAAAAAAGACAGAAGAAAAACCCAAAAGCTTTCATGTCAAAGAGAGTGAAAATATGAATTGTATTCCTGAATTCTCCATCCCTCGAATCCAACTGCTGTCCATAAACTCATACCTCCAGTGGCAAAATACTTTTGATTGAAACAGCTTTCCAATTTAGGCTTTGCCTGCTGAATTTCTCTGGGGGGTAATGAATGACCCTGACCTTCCTCCCTCTATTTCTTCCTCGCTTCTCCCCCTGTGCTCCCGAAGGAGGCACAGCAATTACCAGATCCTGGGCATGCACTCTTGGCCACAGCCACTTCCCCATCCAAACCCAAATCCTAGTAGAAAAGCAACACAAACTTGCAAATTTTGTATCCCCAGGTATTGAGGCTGCTGCCTACAGATCACAAACAACAGTTTGTTCTTCAAGAACTGCCAAATTCACTGTGAAAGGCAAAAACACTAAAGGAAGAAAGCATAGGGAAGTTTTTACTAAGATTAAGGCACTGTACTAAGGAGCAAGAAACAATGCACAGACATGGCCGGACCTAGTAGTAAAATGACCTTCAGAGAAAGAACAAAAGTGACATAAAAATTCAAGCTCAACAGAAAATCTATTAAAAATACAGAGAAGTATTTAACAGTCAGTGTAGGAAAAACATACATCAGTTACAGAAGTTCAGGCTTCTAAATTAAAATAATATAGGGTATACACATACATCTGTATACATCTATATATGGGCAAGCCCCATGAAAAGAATGAATACTAACAAAGAAATATGGGAGAACACAACATGCTAACGTTATTGAAGATCTGCTCTACAGTCAGACAAAAGATCAATCTGTGGATTACAAAAGAGCAGTGCATGCTGCTAACCGTAATGCAAATCCAAATGCCATGCCATGCTAACGACAGGCAGGCCTTGCAATGCTGGCTCACACCTCACTGTGAAGCCAGAAATGCGACTGGAAATTCACTTCTTCCCCTCATTTACACTGGGGGTAAAAAAGCATAGATTATACTCTGCAACCTTAAGGAAAAACATCAATTAAGAATTTGATTATGCAAATAGTAATTGGTTCTGGAGCCAGCAATAATACTCTTGATACCACATGCACGAGTCGGCTTCATTACTTCTCAAAGCAATGCTAATATTTCCAGCTTTGAGTAGTCAATTGCAAACAGCAAATGATAAGCTAAAAAGAAAGGGATTAAAGCCAGAATCACTACTGGAACAACTGTCACTATTAAACACTTGTCCTCTGAAACAGAAGATTTGTGGTACCACATTCCTTGAGCAGAGAGATTAAGACAGATGTTACTGCACTGACCACAAAAATCACTGCACACCCGCTGCCCAGGTAAGGCACTGGTCTCACTGGTCTCCCCATTTTCTGAAACGTCAGAGTACCTCAGCAGCCAGCAGTCCTCCCACAACACCCATCAATACCGATGGCCCAGATGTATGGTTCAGCATTTATGTACGTGTGCATTAAAAATATGCATACTACCCAGACCGATAGGCACGTACCAGGTGCGTACACATACATTTACACAGGTACGCCCACACCCAAAGGTATATATGTGCACAGCACCGCATCCCGTCAGCTCAAGTTCAACCTCTCAGAGCAGCCACTGCTTCAGTCTTGGTTTCGTCCCAGTCTTAAGACAACTGCTCACTTGGGTTCGCTTTATTTTCTGCAACCCCGTTGGCATGCATGGCAGGAACCTCCAAGTGACCTCTTGCACCAGAGCGGAGGTCCACCAGCCCCGGGGGCTCGTCCCTGCTGGCAGCCGAAGGTGGTTGTCCAGAGGGAAGGGCAGGAGCAGGGAAATAGTTTCAGCTTTGCATGTCACCTATCTCCAGCAACCCCTGGTTCAGGGGCTTCTGGAGTCAGGCATGGGTTGTATGAGACTTTAAAGGGATTTGTCTCCCATGAGCCAGCCCAGTCACTGTAAGTTTTCAGCATCCGCAATCCTGCAGCAAGGATTTCTACAGGTTAGTTATGGATATGACACTCTGTTTTGGAAATTACCAATGATATTACCTGCCTGTGACCGTATACCAAGATTACTGCCAATGTCCTCCTACAGAGATTTAATTCTCCGAATGAGCAAAACCATCTCCAAATTTGTATGTGCTCTAAATTCATGTACAACTCTAAATGTGGCATAAGAAGGACATGCTGTGCAGTCAGGGCTTGTGTTTTCTCAACAGTTGCAATTTTAACAATATAAATTTATTTTTATATATATATACTAGGCTGAAACGTAGACTTAAATGCTAATCTTTGGTGTATAAAACAAGGTCATGTTAAAGCATGTAAAATCTAACCTGCCTATGATGCTTAATATTGTAGCCCCTGGAGAAGAAGATTTACTTTTCTGATGCTCAGTTTAATTTCCTCCTCTACTTAAGCTGTTGTAGAACATTTTATACTCACAATCGAAATACAATAGCTCAACTGCATACTATTAATTTTTTATTTTGTTTCAATTTTTATTTTGCTCTGAATCCAATCTGACTTTGATTTGCAATTGTTTTATGAACTTAAAAGCAAGTGACACTTTCAAGGTATTATTTCCTGTTTTCATTTGTAATTCTCTTTCTCTCACATATATGTGAATACTCCAAGATCATAATAGTAGGTATGAAGAGGTTTTGTTTTTCTTATTTGTTTTTCAGGCATACAAAAAGCCTTCTGTAGA